AATCGAATCGGTGTTTCATTTCGTGCAGAGGGGGAGCGGGTAGTCGGATGGGGGCGCCAGGGGATGGGGTAAGGATGGAAGGGAGGTGGGGGACCAGGACGGGGCAGCCCGATCATGACGCAGCCCGATCAGCCGGGCAGTAGGCCAGTCCGCGTCTGTCACAAAAATACAAAATTTGCTGCCGAGCTGTTGCCACTGTACGCGCGCAGACTCTGCAGCCGTTGCCCTGGGTACACCCCTCGTGCCCCCTTCTGCTGCGCGCACCACTTTCCGAGGTGCACCTAGCATCCCACGCATTCTCTCCACCTCCGCTTCCATCGCGTCTCACCTGTCTTTGGCCCCTGCTGCATGCGCGTTTTTGCTCGCCTTTTCCCCGCGCTGTCCGTGATGGAGTTTTCCGCCGCTTGGTCGTCCCCTGGTCGTTCTCTGACAACCGCGCTGGTGCCTTTGCTCTGCTCCTGTCCCCCCCCCCCCCCCCCCTCCCCTAGTTCCCAGTCCTGTCCCCTGTCCCCCTAACCACGCCCCCCCCCCCCCACCCCGCCAACCATCCCACACTTCCCGCCCCCCCCCGACCCGTCCCACGCCTTCTCCCCCCTCGCCCCTTCCCCCCACCTGCCGCCTCCCGACACATCCACATCCATAGGATACAAATCAAACATCGTTGCCAGCGCCCTAAACCGTGCGCACAGAGACGTCTCGGCCTCGCACGATGAAAAAAGAGCCGGGTGGTGCAGTCGGATGTGCTGAAAGATGCGTGCCATCTGCTTGCATACCGTACTGAAGACGCGTGCATTCGGCTTCGCTGTAGCATGAAGCCTCGCCGAGACATCGTCGACCGTATGTAGCACATACTCGAGCGCTGTACATGCGCGCCCGTCTCCATGCGCAGGGCAGACGAACACGTCCTCGCCGATATGCATCGCTTCACACGTGTCTGGATGCGCGGCTCCGCGACACTCGCGCTGCAGACGGACAAGCCACGGCACGTTCAGGCCGACAAGCACGTGTCTCGCAGTGAGCGCGCAGCACGCAGGCAACGAACAAAAGCTGCGCATGTATCCACACGCTGCGCGCGCATGCCGGCTGCCCGTCCTCGAGCTGCGGGAGTGGCACAATGTGCTCCACATCATGCGGTGCCTGCGCCACCAGCGCAGCGATGTACTGCTGGGCGCCGAACGGGAGCCGCTGCACGTCGCGTGCCGGCGTCGGTGCCTCGGTATGTCGCCGCATGTCCTGTCGTCAGCCGCGCGCATGCGCCACGCACGTCAAGCGTCTGGCCCCGTCGGACGCGCCGCGCCGTCATCATCGGAGACGTGTCCGCGCCGTGGGCGCAGGGAGGCGCATGTTTAGTCATCGCCACCGACGTGGGTGGCAAATGTGGAGCGCCTGCCGCCGCGGATTGCCACCGACTGACTGACTGCACGCCATGGAGTGGGAACCCACGACGGGGGCCGGCATAGCTGCAGGGATGGAGCGCGCACTGCCGCACATGCTTGGAGCACCAGTGAAAGAGCTTGCGCCGCTGAACAAGGACTCCGGCGCGCCGGGACGGCCGATCCGCCGGCGCAACCGGCAGCCTCTGAGCTGCATCGCATGCCGCGACCGCAAGATCCGGTGCGATCACACGGTGCCCTGCAGCCAGTGTATCCGGCGCGGTGTCGCCGAACAGTGTGCGATTGAGAACCGCGCGCGGCCAAGTGCGGCGCCCGTCCGCCGCAGTGCACCGGCGGGCGACGCGGGCGTGAATACCACGCCGGCGGCACCGGGCAGGGCGATGCCGATGCAGGAGGTGGATGCCATCAAGGACCGCCTGCTGCAGCTTGAGGCGAAGCTCGAGCAGCAGCGGAAGCGGAACGTGCACGCGCCGGGCGACGCGCGCGCGTTTCTGTCCGTGCGAGACGCGCTCGGCGCAGCGCCCGTCGTTGCCGCGCAGACGCACCGCAGCGCGAACGCCGACAACACGTCGCGGGGTGTGGACACCGATGCGGACCACGCAGCGACCGTGCTGGAGGGGCTGAGCATGGAGAGCGCGGTGCCGTTCCAGCAGCACCACGGGAGCGCACTGATGCGGCGGCAGTTTGCGCAGGAGCTGCCTGACACGCGCAAGTTCCACGGGGGCGAGATCCTCGAGGTGCTGGAGGGCGAGGGCGTGATTGATCCGATCGCCGCGCCGAAGAACTCCTTCTCCAAGTGCGTCGAGCATGAGATCGGCGCGCAGTGCGACAAGACGCAGCAGCCGACGCAGCGTGCGCCCGTGGACGAGGGGAACGACAGGAAGGGTGCGCCGGAGCCGTGCAATGAACTTGCCGCGGCAGAAGCCGCGATGTGCGCCGCGAACGGCGGGCGCGGCCCAGACGGCTGCCCCATCAAGACGGCGTGCCAGAACAAGGGCCTTCTCAAGCTGAGCAGTCTCACGGAGTCCTCGCTCGGCTGGGGTCTCGGCTGGGCGCTGGCGGCCGCAGACGGGCTGGGAGAGTACGCGCACATTCGAGCGCTGCCGCGCACGGAAGCGGCGCCCGAGGACGCGGGCGCGGATGCGGAGGGCTCGCGCCCGCCGGTGTCGAACGAGCGCATTGCGGTGCTCGCGTCGATCATCCGCACGCTGCCCTCGCACGAGCAGGCGAAGAAGCTCGTCGACATTTTCGACCAGCGCGTAAACCCGTTTACGTTCAGCATCGTGCATGCGCCGACGCTGCAGCGCGAGCTGGAGCTCTTCTACCAGCTCGACGACCCTGTCCGCGCCGCGTGCGCGGTGGACCACATCGACACGTGCTGGCTCGGCATGGTGCTGCTGGTGTTTGTCCTTGCACTGCGGTTTGAGCCGCAGAGCGCGCCGTCGACCCTGACGATCGACGAGGCGACGAAGCGGCGGGTGATCCACCTTTGGTACAGCGCGGCGAAGACGTGCCTCGTGCTCGCGGGCTTCATGGGCTCGTCGAGCCTCACGGTGCTGCAGACGACCGTGCTGCTCATGTTCCAGTGCTCGCAGCCGGGGACGAGCGAACCCGCACTGAGCCGCATCGCCCTGTCCAATGCCCAGGGCATGGGCCTGCATCGTCTCGGCGACAAGTCGAAACAGCCGCGTGCGGGCGAGTCGGCGGCATATGCGGTGCGCCGCGAGATTGCGAAGCGCGTCTGGTGGGCGCTTGTCGTGAACGAGTGGCGCTGTGCGTCCATGACGATGTCGCCGTGCTTCGTGCATCCGCGGCACTTCAACACGCCGTATCCCGGCAACTAGTGCGTGCCGCGCTGCGCGCCGCGCTGACCCACAGCAACAACGCCGATCTACTCCAGACGCCGCTGCGCGCGCCGCGCCCGCGCGAGGAACTGACGGAGCTCTCGCTCACGCAGTCGCTCATCGAACTCACGCAGGTTGTGCGCAAGCACGCGGACGTGCTGTACGAGCTCGAGATGAAGAATGCCGCGCGGGACACCGCGGAGCCGATGTCATGCGAGACCGCGCGTGACTTCGACCGGCAGTACCGCGAAGTGCTGGAGCATGCGCCGATCTTCGCGCAGGCGACGGGTGCCGTCAACGGCGAGCTCGTGGAGGTGGAGCGCTGGGCGTTCCAGCAGTGTGTGTTGAACAAGCTCCTGCAGATCCACCGTGCGGCCCTCAGCAACGCACAGGCGCGCCGCTGCTGCGTCGAGCTCGCGCGCCGCACGCTTTCCTTGCTCAAGGATGTGCGCGCGCGATCGGACCTTGTGGACCTGCTTACCATCAATGTGCTGCAGAGCTTCTCGGCGATTATCCTGCTGTGTCTCGACCTGATGTACACCCCGCCCGCAGAGGTACAGCGCACAACGGTGCGTGCGGAGATTCTCGAAGCCCTCGCGGCCATGCGCGAGGCGTCGAAGCGCGCAAGCATTGCGCCGCGCGGAATCCGCATCGTCGAGGTCCTGCTCCAGGAAGAGGAAGCACGCTGGGCGCAGTACCGCGACAAGGGCACCGCGTACGAGCTCGACACGTCCACGCCGAAGAACGACCTCGTAAACCTCGCCTTGCGCGTCGCGCGCGTCTCTCGGTCCTCGCCTCCGGAGGATCGCGCCGCCGAGGTTCCCAAGCACGCGGAGTTGCCGGGCCAGTTTTCCGCGATGTCCGCCGCGCCACACGGCACGAAACCGCACCTGCGTAGGTGGCGCGCGCGAAGCGACGTACTGATGCTAGCACCGTTCGTGTCTGTGCCGGACGAGGTGATGCAGGACCCAGAACTGGGTGCATTCCCTCCCCTGCAGCCGACACTGACATCGTTCGACCCGTACCCTATGGGACTCGGCGGCGTGGATATATCCATGCAGGACGCAGCGAATGCGGACACGGGCTTTAATCTGCAGGTGTTCCTGGACAGCTTCAGCGTGCCGTCTACGACGGGGGAGCCCAGCATGTCGGCGCCGTCGTTTGGTGGACTCGCGGCGCCGTCCGCATTGGCATCGCCCGGCGCCCTCGGCGCAGACGGAATGCCGCTACTGCCGCAGCCGGCGATGTTTGCGGAGCGCGCGCCATCGTTCGAATCCGGCAGTGACCCTCTGCAGATACCAGCGGTTCCCGGGCTCTCTCAAAGCGACAGCCCCACGACCGAATCGTCGAGCCCAAATTCGACACGCGCCGCGCCGGGGACTATGGATGGATTCTGGAGTATGTGTATCGGCATGTGTCACACTCACCGTGCAAGGTTGGATTCTTGGCCAGGGTATGCACGCGGACCCGAACTCGGCCCCGGTGGATCTCAGCAGCACATATGCGAAACAAGCTGCGCATGCCTCGAGCATGGGGATGCCGCCGGGGTCGGTGCCTGCAGGTGCTATGGACATAATGTCGACGCAGACGCCTCTGCACATGCCGTCGCTTACACAGCCCGTACTGCCCACGGGGGCACCATGGGCGATGCCATAATACTTTCGCATGCGACGTGGAATGAGTGTAATTTATTTGTCACGGTGTTCCGGCCCGGCCCCTTCCCATAATTCTCTCCCAGAAAAGAGAAAGGGGACAAAAAGAATGTCCCGTGCCAGGATCGAACTGGCGACCTCCAGATATCAACGGCTCGCGCCAGGCGCGATCATATTATGAGACCGACGTGATAACCAACTACACCAACGAGACATTGGACTTGTAGACGACGGTCTCCATACACCCTTTAGCGTAGAGAGCGCGCGTCGGGTCCATGTCAGGGTGCCATCTTTTGAATGGATGCGCGGCTTTCGGCGAGGAGGGCGCGGGTCGTCGTGGAGAGGGCGTCTTCCGACGTGGCGTCGCCCGGCATTGCGCCTGCGGGGTGTATTGTCGATGGCGGAGCAGCGTCCACGCTGCGCCCCGGGCGCATCTCTGGCGCCTCGGCCAGGCTCATCGGCACGCCGCAGTCGTCGTCGGACGCTGCGCCCACGCCGAGGTCCTCGTCGTCACTTGATAGGTCCACATTCGGGGGGGAGGGAGGCTTCCTGTCTTTGTTGAGCCCTTCAAGGCGCAAGATGTAGTGCTTGTCAATGTTAATTGCCTTGAGCTGAATCTTGCGTATTGTGCCTGGCAGGTAAGCAGCTGTCCCTCCGCCACACACACCGGAACATGCGCACACACTCATGCGTACCCGCTGCCCATCGATCACGTTTACCAGTGTGCACGCGGCCCACACATCGCGCACACCGTCGCGTGCGCACCGGACGATGGCCAGCCCAGACGTGCGCGAATAGAACTTGCATGTCAGTGGACCGCCCAGCGCCCCCGCCGCCGCGTCGCCAAAGTTCAGTTGCAGCGAAGCGCGCAGGCTCTTGGTGATGGTGTGCGCGCTGACGTCCGGCGCACGCGAGGCGAAGGGCACGTCCCCCGCTGCGCTATCGTACGGCACCGCCGGGGCGCCCGTTTGCAGCGATACGAGCAGCCAGCGGTTCTCGCAGATGAGCGTCGTCCCACGCGCGGGTACGCACTTTAAATCGCACCATTGGTACGGACCGGCGTGCTGCGCCGGCGTGCCCTGCCACCGGTGGTCAGATCGAGCCGTTTGGGCTGGTAGGGCAGCGGGGATAATTCGCCCTTTTTTTCTCGATTACACCGCGCTGCATTTCTGGGGGGAGGGGGGGGGGGCAGAGCCTTGGGACTACACAGTATGGACATGGCTTGTGCGCCGCCTCACCTCTCGCCGTCGGGAATACGCGGTGGGGCGTTAGGCGGAGGGGGCGCACGCCTGGGCGGGGGCGCACGCGTCGGCGTCGCAGCGGGCAGCGCTTCCTCTTCCGTGAATGACGATTCTGCATATACGTCATCGGCCGGGGCAGCACCACCCGGCGCCGGCGCATATCCTGTGGCTGGCGGCGGCGCGGAAAAGTGGGACTCGCGCGGCACTGCGTCGATGGGCGGTGGCGGCGCCCGTGTAGGTGGGGGGCGCGACGGAGGGTGTCGCTGCGGCGGGCTCGTCGCGTGCGGAGAAGTCGCTGTACCCCCCGCAGACGCGCCCTCTTCCGTCGCACGTCCGAGAGGCTGGCACGGCGCCGCAGTCGGGAGTGTACTCGCGCGGTGTGCGTCGCTGCGGTCCGATAACGCGTCGCCCGCAGCCGGTGACGCACTTGTCGGCTGCGACACGGCGAGAGGGTCGTTTCCCACCGTGTCGGCACGCGCGAGTGTCGGGGCGCGGCGCAACGGTCGCGGCGGCTGGTGCGCTGCAGCGCCAGCCGCCGTTGGATGCGCCGTGGGATCCGCCGCGTGTGGCACCTGTGCAGGAGCGGCCTGCGGCGGCGGCGACATGGACGCCGTGTCCACCGCCGGCGAGACTGGGGCCGCAGGCGTTCCGGCTGGGGGCATCGACGGGGCCCCCGGCATCCCCGCAATACGCTGTCCTCCCATGCGTGCGATGCGGCGAGCGATGGCCTCGCGGCGCTCCTGCTCGCCATCCACGGGGGGGTCTCCAGAGATCGGTTGCGCACTCTCCGCCGTCTTCGCCTGCGCGTCCACAACGCCTCCATCGCGCGGGACGGTCATCGCGACGTCTGCGGCTCCACCCGGCGCGACGAAACCCGCGCCCGCGCCAAGAGTACCGGCAAGCATGTCCGTCTGCGGCGCAGCAAACGATACACCAGCCATGTCGTCCTCCTGAGGCATGCGGCTCTGCGGCGGCGGCGCAAGTGGCGAATTCGGCCCGCGCTGTACGGTACCAGAAATGCCCGGCGCCGCAGGGGACGGGGACGGCGAGAGTTTCGTCACACGCGAGAAGCCTGCGTCCCTCTTTGGCGTGCACGGCGTGTCGTCAGGGCGCGCGACGTCCGCGACCGGAGGCTGCGCAGCGAGGGGAGGAAGGGGGACCGCCGGCGCGGGATACTCCTGCGCAGGGGGGGTGCCGGCGGTCCGCGCCGTCGGCAGCTGCACGGGAGCGCTTGGCGCTGCAAAGCCGTCTTCCTGCGCTGCCTCTCCACCCTCTCCCCCACCCCGTGCCCGCCCCTCTTGCAAAAGCCCCTCGAGCTGCTGCCTCTCGCTGGCGAAATCATCTGAGTCCGCGGGCGGCCGCGGGGCGCGGACAGGTGCCTCTGGGATACAGGGTGCAGAGCGGACCGGAATAGTGGGAACCCCCGACAACGGCACAGACGGCTGCACCGATGGCTGTCCGGTGTACGGGACCGAGTCGGACACCGCTGCCAATGGTACCTCCGGAGCAGCGGGCACTGCACGTGCTGACTCTCGCCGGTCCAGGAACGCTGCAGTTGCGGGTGGCACAGACGGCGTACTGTCCACATCGTACGTGTCCGGCGTCGGGACACTGTCGGGCGCATGGTGGGGCGCTGCCGCCTCGTGCGTCCACTGGCTGTGGTCCTCAACGACTCCGTCGGCCGCCTGCGTTTGTACGCTGTGGACAGGAACGGCCGTGTGCGGAAGACGCGCGGCACTGTCATCCGGAGCGTGGCACGCCGCAGCGGGGGTCTCTTCCTGTACCGGCAGCTGTGCGGCGACAGTCGGCTGCGGCGGGGAGAGTGCCGGCGGTGGGGCAATGGCGAAGGGCGCAGCCGTGGGTGCAGGAGTCGTTGTGGTGGGAGCCGGCGCTGCCGCGTGGGAGTCAGCCCCACTGGCATCCGCACTGTGGCCATTTGCCATATCCACAGTGCTGGCGTCCTCTTCGCGTTGCTCGTCACCCGGCAGCGCTTCGAGTTCCGACTCGCGCGGTCCTGTGGTGTCATCAGCTGACACAGGACGGTAGCCCGCGTCGCCCGCCGCACGGTCCACTCCACCCGATCCACTGGGCTCCAAAGCGCCACCGGGCATGGCGCCAGCCACGGCGCCCGTGTCCCGGACATCCGCGTCAGCCACGGTGGGCTTTGCTCGGGGCGCCCGACGCGTGCGCGGAGCTGCGGCACGCCGAGGGACGGAGAGTGTCTCATCGTCCGGTGCCTCTGTCGGCTGTGTGGGCTGGGGAGGCGCGGGCTGGGAGGGGGATTGGGGCGGGGGGTGCTGGGGCGGCGCTGTCTCAAACGCCTGCGCCCCCTCTGCCGCCGACTCCACTGGCTGCCGCGCCGCTTCCGGCTGCCGCGCCGCCTCCACCGGCTGCCGCGCCGCCTCCACTGGCTGTCTCGCTGCTTCCACCGGCTGCCGCGCCGCCACCACCGGCTGCCCTGGCGCCTCCACTGCCCGCCCCGCAAAGAGGCCGCCCATGCGCTGTCCGCCGAGCGCAGCCATGCGTCTCGCAATGGCTGCGCGGCGCTCCGTGTCGTCGTCCTCGCCGTTATCTCCACTCTCCTTCGCCGCGTTCGTGTCCTCCTCGCCCCGCCCCCCTTCCCCGCCCCCCTCCGGCAGCGGTGTCTCCGCGCTTGGCTCGTCCGCTGACTGCAGCGCGCTCGGTCGAGGCTCGTGCGTGTTTGGCGCCGGCTCCGCGGCGGCTGCGTTCCCACGTTGCAGCGCAGCCATGCGGTCCTTGAGGCTCATCTTGATGCTACTCTGCGCGTCCGAGGCACTGAACGAGCTGTGCGATGCACCCGTTGACCCCACAGACACATCCGGTTTTTCCGCCGTGGTCTCGATGGGCTTTGGCGCCGTGCTGGCGGGCGGCACACTCGGCATTGGCGGCGCAGTCGCACCTTCCGCTGGCGCCGGTCGCCGCCACGCCCCCGGTTTCCCCCGCGGGATGGGGGGTGGGCCTTTTTCCTGCGGTTTATTGAACGCCGCAATGCGGTCGCGCAGAGAGCGCTGGCTGGGGTCCACGGAGGAGGCGGAGGTATGGGCGTCGTTGTCCGGAGTTGTTGGGGACGGGGTCGGTTTTGCGGGTGGGGCCGACGCCGGTTCTGTGGACAGGTCCGTAGCCGATGCAGCAGGCGGCTCTGTGGGCGATGCAGCAGGCGGGTCCGTAGCCGATGCCGCAGGCGGGTCCGTGGCCGATGTTGCAGGGGGATCCGCGGCCGATGCTGCAGGCGGGTCCGTGGCCGATACAGCAGGCGGCTCAAGAACCGATGCTGCAGGCGGGTCCGTGGCCGATACAGCAGGCGGCTCAAGAACCGATGCTGCAGGCGGGTCCGTGGCCGATGCTGCAGGCGGCTCCGGCACTGATGCTGCAGGCGGCTCCCGCGTCGGATGTGCCGCATGTGTGTGCATCTGTGGAGACGCATCCGACGTAGGGGCCGGCGCGGAGGGCGCCGACATCTCCCGCGCAGCACTCTCGCCCGCGCCGCTCTTCCTCATGGTCTCCCGCGCCGCGTTTCCGCCGTCCGCGCGGTTCTCTTCCGACCCCGCCGTCGCCCTGTCATCGCCGGACGCACGCGCCGTCACTCCCTCCGCCCCCGCTCCACCTGCGCCTGCCGCTGCGCCCGCACCGCCTGTGCCCAGCCCGCCAGCCATCGCTGGAGCCGGCGGGTCGACCTTGGTCACTAGGCTCCCCGGGAACTGGCCCTGGCGCTCCGTACCCACGACGCCGCCGACATACCAATGGTCATCTTCGTCCTCGTCCGGCGGCACACTTGCATCCCGGTCGACCAGCGCCTGCACACAGATTATCTCCCCCTTACCAAAGGAGAGATCCTGCGCATGCGGGCTCCGGTACTTGACCACTGACTTGACATAGAATGGGAACTCCATGGTGGCCACACGGAAGCCGACCAGCGGCGCGGGTTGGCGCCGCACGGATGGCCCGATACCTG